TGGGTTCCTCGTCATCGAATAAGTGGATGATAGATGGATTGATGAAAGCCATATATATATATATATTGATGATGGATGAATTATATTAATAGACAGGTGAATGCGGACAAAGCATGGCATTAAGGTTACATCTCAACTATCAGATTTCATTAAATACTCTCTAACGCATCGATTGTTGTTGCCTCTCACGAGCTTATTTAAAATCGGATCAACTTACATTTACTGAACAAAACAACTACTGTTGCTAAGTGATTCATACAATCGATAAATTTTAGCCTATATCTTTCACGTGAAAACAAAAGTTGTTATTTTTATGCTTTGTTTTTCACACCGAACTCACTAAATCGTCGACTGTATTTTTGTAGTTTATTCTAATTTTCTTGCAACTGAATCTTGTTGTTCACTTCTTTGTTCAGCTTATCTTGCATTGAAAACAATGTGAAATATGTTAACTGTCTATAAATTTAAGACTAGTAGATTTTAAAAGACCCCCCAATTCACAAGCTCTATAAAGAGTTGAATATTCTTCTCCTGAAGAAGAACGGTGAATTATTCAAAAAGCGCTCGAGTTTCCTGGTCCTTGGAAATCTATTTAATTTTATTTCAATTGTTTTTATGGTCCTTTCTGCTACTTTATATCATCGTTATATAAATGTAATATTAATGCGTATCACTTACTTTGTTTTGTTTTTCCCGCAAGACGAAGTATTCATAAGATATCAAGAACAAACAGTGGATTTTGTTTAACATCGTCTTTCGATCTAGAAATGATCAAGTCAGGAACTCCCTTGGAATGTTTAAGTAATTAAAGTTCCTTTAAAGTAACGCCGCATTTAAAATGTATGTATTCTGGTTTTAGTTTTTCCACTTCGATACAAGAACACACTACATGTTATAGTCTGTACGTACGTATGCATCGAAATATTCATTAGACCGTAAAATTCGATCGCCCACGAAGACCGTTGTTTTGTTAACTAGGTTCATTATTTACTGGTTATTTCTTTGTTTTGGTTCCTAGTGTCTTTAATAAACATGACTACACTAGGTTTGTTCTTTTATTATTTATGATAAGCTTACAATCTCTTGTGCATATGTTAAAGTTAAATAAACGATTTTATTTCTTGCCGTACTGAAACTTTAAAGGGTGTTGTTGTTGTTTTTTATCTTGATTAGGTATATCTTAAATACAACGTTATTAATTCAGAAAAAAAATCTCTACATGTTTTCTGTAAGTTCATTTTTTATTTCCAGTCTGTAGTTTTGTGGTTCACAAAAGGTGCCATGCATTCGTGACCTTTAAGTGTCCAGGGGCAGACAAGGGAGTGGACACCGATGTAAGTAGACTGTTTAACTTCTGTTGTGATCAGTTCATTTAAAACATAGCTTGCCCTCTGTCGGTGGAAATGTTTATGATGTAGTGGCCCAAAGAATAAAATTTCTGGTAACAAACATGATATCTATATAGGCCTAAATACTGGCGATTTTCTTATGCAAAATACAAACATCGGGCTTACGTCAGCGGGTTTATTTAACATGCGGTACACAGTGTCACGTGATCTCAGGAACTTCTACACTAGCAATCTAATATTGCTGAAAAATCGTAAATTGAGATACTTTCTGTTGTCCTATTGGTAAAATCAAAGGATAAACTATTCATGATTAATAAAAAACGAAACGCTGAGTATCATAGTTTGCCCTAAAGCAGCTTTTTTGTGTAAAAGTACAATGGGCTACCATTCTCCGTAACCCTTAACACAGGTGAAATTTGTTGTAATTAAACACTCATCTTTTTTTGACTTACTAACAAGGAAAAAATCCAAAAAACTTGAAATAATAGCTTTAATTGCCTGTGTACGTCTTCAAACAGCACTACCAAGAAATGTAACGTAACTCAACATCTGTAGTTCACCATGATGACGACATGATCAGTAGTCAGTCCGTGAAAACTGAAGATCTGAAGAAGGTAAAGGAATGAGGTGTATGATATTTTAAATTTGCTGAATGATATTATTTTCTCCGAGCAACAGTTTTCCAAAAGGCTTACATTTTGTGTCGGTTTTATGACAGGTTTATTTTTACTGAAACTTAAAATGGATAGCAAAATTATGTTTTTTTTCATTAATATTGAAAATGTTCAGTTCAAAAGAATTCATATTTGAAATTTAAAAAGATAACGATATATAGAAATGAAAATTTGAATCACTTTTTTATTTTTTATTTTATTCTGACCTAATAACACTGCTAGAAACCTGGTTTCGATACCCGTGGTGGGCAGAGCACAGATAGCCCTTTGTGTAGCTTTGTGCTTAACAACAACAACTGACATAATAAGGACAGACATCAGTTGAAAGTTTAAGTTATACAAAGATGGTTAGAATGAAAACACTCCCTCTGTTGGCGATCAACAAATATCGGTTAACACTCCCTCTGTTGGCGATCAACAAATATCGGTTATCCAACATAAAACCTTTCTCGGGTATACCTAACGTGAAATAAAATAATAAAGTTTATATGAGAAACACTTTATCAAACGAATTTATAGTCCTGATGTATATATATCATACTTAATTATGAGAACGGTAAGACTAAAGACATGAAACAAACTTAACTTTGGGCTGGGTAGAAGACATCTTTAGTTAGGGCAGTTTTATTTTTCTAGCAGGGTAGTTGGCCTTTGAAATGGTTTGTCTTCAGACGTGGTAGATGCAGTTAATTTAAGGGATTTTAGGGGAAATTTGACAAATATTTGAACGATATAGTCTGGTTTAGAGTGTTTTATTTTTATTCTAAAGTTTAGTTTTGTGAATAGGATGTTATAAATGGACTAAAATTCCATTGTCGTCCTTAAGTTATATCTATAAATTCTACAGTGTCTTATCGATCTACCCATCGAGTTATTTCTTTTGCTGATGACGTATTGAGGAAGAAGTACATAACGTTTGTGCCGAGAATTATGTAAACTTTCTCAACAGACTCTTATAATTTCATTTCTCAAAGTTAAGGATCTCACTTCCCAGTTAAAGCGTGTGGAAGTGCTAGTTTTTTGTGTGTGTAATTATGTAACATAGTCAGAAGTATGCAGGATCAAAATAATTGATGATTAAAGGCTTTGCTGTCAATCAGTCGTTAACATAAAGATATAAATAAATATATTTAATATACTAAGTAATCTACTTCAGTAATGAAAATGAATTAAGATAATATAGTGTGTGTACAGTAAAAAAAAAGTTAGGCTTCTCAGTTTTCATATTTAGGAATTTTAATTGTGTCGAAGCGTCTCGAAAGATTGGTCTATGCTGAAGACTTCGTAGTACAACTAATAATGTTTCAACAAGTAAGGAGGCCCGGCATGGCCAGGTGGTTAGGGCGCTCGACTCGCAATCAGAGGGTCGCGGGTTCGAATCCCCGTCACACCAAACATGCTCGCCCTTTCAGCCGTGGGGGCGTTTTAATCTGACGGTCAATCCCACTATTCGTTGGTAAAATAGTAGCCCAAGAGTTGGCGGTGGGTGGTGATGACTAGCTGCCTTCCCTCTAGTCTTACAATGCTAAATTAGGGATGGCTAGCGCAGATAGCCCTCGTGTAGCTTTGCGCGAAATTCCAAAACAAACAAAATCATTAAATTATTCTATCGCGAACACTTCAAAATATTGCTGTTAATTTTTTTCTTTCATGGTTTGAATGATGTGTTGAAAATTTCAAGCAAATTGATAATCCTAAGAGCGAGATGAAATCTTAAAATGTTTTTCAGTCAATGTTGTCTGATGCTTTTTCACTTTTCAACCCACGTTTCGATATTGTATAATCTTTCAGTCCATGTTCGGGTATTGTTTCCTTTTACAGTCAGTCTTCCATTATTGTTTCAATTTTTCAGTCAATGTTCCAGTATTGTTTCATTTTTTTCTGTCC